AGGGTAAAATCAATAACTTAATCATTCCTAAAAAATTCCTAACTTTAAGTAGAATAACTTCTTGTCTTTAGAAAAATCAATTCACCGATATGAAATTTAAAATGTGCATGTAAAATTATTAAATTGTAAAAAAAATAGAGGACAAACAACACCCCTGTCATTCAAACTATCTAATAATTTTTTTTATAGCGATTAGGTTTTGTTCGGATCAGCTTTTACGCATCTTGATTAATCCATCTTTCCGAACAATTTTAAGGGCACGAGCAAACAGTGACCGATGCAGAAATCTAGTTCGGGCATACGCCCTAAAACGAAAAGTACACCCGGCACCGAGCACGAGAAGGACGGTTGCTCTTGCTAGCCTCCATTCAGACCATCATTCCTGAAAGAATCACGTGCTGTACAAAGTCAATAAATTTGCTAACATGCATAGTTCTTGTACGACATAAATTGCCCGGGGTTGTATTGTATAAAGATCTTTATGAGAAATTACGATACTCTAATCTCCTTATAAGCATCATTGGACATGATTTTATAAAACTATCGTGACAACTTCGATGTGTCGATCAGTAATGTTCAATTACACGGCATATATCTGGACACATTGGGTCATCAGAGTACTTTATGAATAATATTAAGTACCTAATAAGAAGTCCGTCACTTCTTAAATGTAGAAGAGAATAGTGAAGACCGTATTTATTGATTTAACCAAATTTTTTAACCGATCTATTTAGAAAAAAAATATATTCATTTCTGAATTATTTCACATTTGGAAGTAATAGAAATGCACATATAAACTCATGACCCACAGAGAATTATTGGATAGTCCATCTCAATGAGTTTATGTGAAATACTAGTCGATAGGGGGAGTTGCATGAATATGTAGTTATCGGGTATGTTGTTGTGTTAATATTTGAAACTTTCAGTGAAATTACAATTTATGAAGGGTACATAATTGTATATTATCGAGGTAAGTCAAGACTTATCTTACCAAAGATTACAGATGCTAATAAGTCCCATGCTACATGTTTATTATCTCGGAATTAAGAGTAATTTTTTGCTCAAATTTTAATTACGTGAACTCATCATCATGCATATCAAATGTTACTAGATCGATAATTGATTTATCAATTAAGAAAGGGATAATCCACAAAAGATCTCGAATTTGTACACGTGTGACACATTTACCTCAGACTAATTTTCTTGAGACAAAAAATCTCAACCTTTGTACACATGTGACACCTTTTTCTAAACTAATTTTCATATCACAAAAAATTCTAAACCGATATACCTACTATAAATCTACCCTCCATTAGCTTTTGTCTAATGTCCCCTTTAAATTGCTGACGGGGAATTTCACGTGGCAAATGACTTCGTTGTGGGGAAGCAAGTTTTGAAGAAAATGAACTAAGATAGGAAATTACGGCAAAATTGAATTTGCTCCTTTCGGCTCTCCCAAATCACCAAAACCTTAGGACAAAATTGGGGCAAACTTAGGGATTTCAGTAGATCTTCGAAACGCGAGGCAGCTCGTATCTAGAAGGGAAGCTTATAGAGATGGCAAGAATGGAGAAGAGTTGTTGTCTATGGCCGGGAGGAAAGCAACGAAGGGTAGATTTGTCATGAGGCTACTTATTTGGGATTCTTTGTGACCCAAAAGTTCGTTCGGGATACAACATGTACCGATTTGGGATTGTGTTTGCGATGTGAAAATTAAAGTAGATTCAATGTCATTAAAGAATTGAACGATTGGTGTTCTAGTTCAAGTTGATTCCTGAAGCAAAGCAAGCGGAGAGGCATTATGTAAAGCTTCTCATGGTTGTTGATGATGGGGGTTGTTGGGCGCGGATATATCGTCCATCGGCTTTGTCACCGCCTTCAAGATCTCCTTGAGGTTCCGCAAGGATGTGGATTCAATAGATTTGTTTCGCCGGTCATGTCTTCATCTTCGTTGCAAAGCCCTTGTCTTCAATCTTCCACTGATGGTCTCATCTTTTTCTACAGGGTATCCTCTTCCTCCTCCAAAGCTCGAAGAATGCATGGGTCTCTTCTTCGCCCATGCTTCGGATTTTGTTGTCCCGGGCTTTGGTGGATGAAAAAAAACTTCAATTTCTTTTAAAGAAGACACGTGCGAGCCGAAAAATAAATTAAAAAGTCGCGCAGAACTTTTGGCCGGAATTTGTTGTCGGAATCACTTAATTGATCCGATTTGGCACTTAAGTAATCTGGCGAAAGCTTTTGATACCAAAACGAGCGCCGTACGAAAACTATTAGCTATCCCGAATTAATTTATGATTGAAACTCAGGAGAAGAGTTGAATTATTCAACTCAGCATTAATTTGACAAATCATCTCTTCAGCTACAAAAGTGTGCCTGGTGCAAAGTGTAGATGTAAGAAGAACGACAAAAACATAAAGTTTCTTGATGGACTATAATTATTAAAACGTGACATCTCCATTGACCGGTCATTTGTAATCTTTTACCTACCAGTCAAATGTAAAGAACATCAAATAGCATACTAATATGATTTTTGTCATTTCATCGAAAATGCCGGTTACGAAAGACTACGCACAAATGGAGTAAAAACATCATAGATAAATCAATTCCGATAACTAGTAATTAAGCAAATAATAAACCTTGACAAGGGTCATCCTCGAAAAGAGCAAATTGAAATATCAAAGATAGATAAATAGCTCAAACGAGTGTTAATCGATCTGCGAAGACATTATGTATGTGTTTGGATCTTTGACTAAGTACAAACAAAGAAATTTGCGTAATTGTTGCTAACCAAGTGTCGCGAGGAGGCTGGAAGTTGTCGCTTGATCGAGCACAAAGTGGCACGAGGAAGAAACGGAGGGTGGGAAGGGGTTAGTGGTTAGGCATTAGCTGCAACCAAAACCTGCCTAATCCCACCCATACATCTCCTAATTTTTACTTGCCCGCCATGGATGTTTTCGAATCGAATCGAATCGAATCCTTCTAGTAAAAGCTACTATGTTCGGAACGCGATATTCGCGACACCAATATGAAATTCTATTGCCCGGATCCCGATCAACTCGACCAGGTGCCATGTGCTCCCGTGGGTGGCTTCATGAGACGTGCAAGTGTAAGGATTTGAACTGTGCTTCGAGCAAGAAATATGAAAGTTGCCACGTATCGATTCGTTTGAGTTTGAGCCGTACTATACTTTTAAGTTATAAGTAATGCTTAGGGATGCAAAATGAAATGTAAACACTGGCGTACGAAAATACGACATGGCTATGTGTTATTCATTATTTGTAAAGCTACAAGATTATATAACTTTCGACCATGATATATCTTGAATGCCCAGAGCTTATTACGGTGTTATAGAAGCTTTCATGAACATTTACTCATCTAGCAATTTTACGTCATGACATGACAACCCCGAGGAGAAAGTTGACATTATTTCATTACTCTGCCACCAGTAAGTAGATATTGCCCACGTAATTCTTTTTTTTTTTTTTCATGTCACTCGGCTAGTTTTATCAAGTCATGAAAATTCCTATAGCTATATTTGAACCTATCAAAATGGGCTATAGACACATTTCTTAACTTATATTTGATGGACTAGGTTGTTACGTGGGTTAGTTATATATAGTAAATGAGTCATAAATAGGTTTATAATGGTGAAACTCAAAATAATATATGTTTTAAATGAGTTCATAACTTATTTAAATCCAACCTACACTCTCTCTTCACTCTCACTCTTCCTTATTCGATCTCACACTCGCTCACTTCACTCTCTCACCTCAATTTGAGTATCAGTTTTTCTAGATTGGGTTAAATATAGAAGTGTTTTAGCAATATGAGTTGGGTCGGGTATAAATTGTGTATGAGGAAGATCGGGTATAAGTCACTAGATTTGTATTACACCGAAATGGGTTCAAATAGGTCAATTTAGGTAGGATCATTTTTTATTTGACACACCCGTTTGACTGGTCTAGCTATTTCATAAATTATTTATCACAACTATAGTGAATAATAATTTTCGAAAGCATAATATTGAGTGATGTGTGATTAGTTCCTGAGAAGAGTTCGCTATCGAGGCATAAAAAGAACGTTACACTAGTCACCACCAAATAATTGGATAAAGCATTATCACTCACTCAAATGATATTAACTCAACTCGACATGCTTGCAATTGAGAAATCACCTTCTATATATAGACGAACTAAGACTAGGAAACATCAAATTAGAAAACCACTCAACTGCTGGGGGCTTGCCACAATGGCCACCATTTCCACGTGGAAATGGGGAGGTGGTAAGTTCGACCTCCCGATACGGGGTTTATGGGTTTATGAGGTTACGCCCCGCCAAAGCTCCTCTTAGAGGAGCTTCGGGATACACCTGGCGGACAAAAAAATGAAAAGAAAGTCAAATTAAGAAACTAATTTAAACTTAAAAACTTACTCAAATTAGGAAACTTATATCTACTCAAATTAGAAAACTCATTTAAATAACGAAATCTACGTAAATTGAGGAACTTGAACTAGGAAACAAGCTTGAACTCGCAGAGTTACTCAGATCATAAAACCAAACTCGTAACTAGGAAACCTACTGCCGACCCGAAAAAAAAAAAAAAGAAAACTAGAAAATCTACTCATATCGGGGCAAGAAAAACACACTAAAATTAATAAACCTACTTAAGCTGCGAATCTACTTAAATCAGGAAAAAACTCTCCAACCTCGATCCAGCCGATCTGACCCAAAAAAAAAAAAAAAAAAAGAAAAAACCTCGATCTAGCCGAGGATCTTCAATTTCAATAAACTCTATATTGGAAACCGTCCCCTAATTGAATCCACCCGATCATGTTTTGTTACGGTCGAAATCTCCCTTTTGCTTGCACGGATGTCCAAATGGGCTCATGGGGTTTTAGGTGGAGCTGTGAGTCATTCAAACTAAACCCTTTTGACAATATAAATGCCGTGGCGCTTCAGTTCTCTTCGTGGGCAATTTGTCAAATTGATGAGCATCTCTCTCTCTCTCTCTGTTTCTCTCTGTCTCTGTCTCTCCATATTCGTGAGCAAACTGCACCATAACCAACTGCTGCCATAAGTCTCACAAGGATCAAACCGAGAGCTGAACCCACAAGGGAAAATTTTCCGCCTTTCGCACCCTCGCATTGGCATGGATCACCCCAAGAACTCCGTCCTGAACCTCACCGTCCTCTCCCTCCTCTCCTCTGCCGTCCTCCTCCTCTGCTTCCTCTCTGCAAATCGGTTCCCTCGCCCCTGCCCCGCCCGGAACCCGGTAAGCCCCTTAATAATCTCTCGGGCCGTAGATGTCTTTCGGCGTCGCCGCTCACTCTGATCGTTTTTCCAGGCCTCGGCGCACGCCCCCCCGACGGACAGCCTGGGGTCCGCGCTGGCCCGGGCGGCGATGCCCGACAAGACCCTGATCATCGCCGTCGTGAACAGGGCATATGCAGAGCAGGGCGTGGACTCGGACAAGACCATGCTGGGCCTCTTCCTCGAGAGCTTCTGGCTCGGGGTGGGCACGCGGCGGCTGCTCGACCACGTGCTGGTTGTCGCCGTCGACGAGGCGGCGTACCGGCGGTGCCTGTTCCAGAGGCTCCACTGCTATAGGCTCGAGACGGAGGGTGTCGATTTCAGGGGAGAGGTGGTCTACATGTCGGAGGGCTTCGTGAGGATGATGTGGACGAGGACCCTGTTCTTGACAGAGGTGCTCCGGCGAGGGTACAGCTTCATCTTCACGGTACGTGAGTCGGTGATTGCGTCTTTGGTTTCTTGATTTTCGGTTTCGATTTCGAAGAGATTAGGATGACGATTGCGATCCGTTTCTGCTTGGCCAAAATCTTTCTCCATTATCAACGGCAATGAAGAAGCAAAACAAATGGAATTAAAGCTTGAGATCATGCATTGATCCAAATTTTCCTAGGATTCGCGGTGGAGAGAAGAAAAATGATAATATACATTAGGGTCCTAAATTGATTAATGACGTGATATATAAACAGATGCATTACGGTTGTCGAATCGTTTTATGAAATAATTACGTACATCTTGCCCTTAATATTGCGACTTTAGTTTAACTAGTTGTCGAACATGCGCGCTACGTGCACGGTCGATGATTTCTGGTGATGGATAGAAACCAAAGACTAATTAGTAATCACCTACTACTAAATCAACCACACACTCAAATGCATGGTGGATTTACGAGTGATCGGTTCTTGATTGGAAAGGCTCGGAACGACTGAACCGATTTCCAGTTTTTGGAACCGGGAATCGAACAAGTTTTAGAAAGTTTCAGAAACCGAGCCCTTGTTTTCCTTTTTGTTGCACTTTCGTTAATCGAGCATATTTATTTATTTTATTTGTGATGTAAAAATTTCGCATAAAAACAAACATAATCAAATAAAATACTTTAACATAAGAAAGTAGAAAGTGTATTTTTTTTTGGTAAGAAGAAAGTTTTTAAATATAGAGATTTAGGGCAGGTTTTGAACCGATTCTTGGGTATAATCAATAGCACTTGATATTGGAAATCAAAACGATCAAGACCAGTTCCCAATTCTTTTCCTAAGAACCAAATGTGACTTCATGTGTATGAAGCCGGTTCGATTAGGTTCTGAGGTTGAACCGGTCCGATTGTTCAGCTTACTGGATTTAATCATTTTTAACTTGTGTTTTTGCAGGAGTCAGAAAAATGCCATAAATTTCATATTATAGAAAGTTTGAGGGTGGATAGCAATTTTAAATGCCCCCTCCACCTTTATTGATAGCATAAATGAGTTACCCATTTAATGAGTAACCGCTCTACACGTGGAAATTCATCTTTCCAAAAATTTCTGCATGTCGGTTTCAAATTAGCACTCAAATGTCAAATTTCACCTAGATTAGACCAACCCATGACAATTAGGTAATTGGATGCACCAAACCGCTAATTCGATATTATTTGCTTAATCATATTCCTTCGGGCTTCAAACCGTAAAGTCAATTTCGGAATTTTCAATTGTCTCTTTTTTACCAATATTATTTTATTGGTCTATAATAGGTTCAAATTTCACATGATCATAGGTCTTATTGTCTGCGTTTGGTTCAACTTTGCAAATGGGTCTTGGTCAAATGCAAATGTCTTTGGTCTAAAATTTATCGGGGAAATGCAAATTGCGTTTGGTAAAAAATCCTTTGTAAAGCTACTTTTGGCTTAAGCGGTGTTTGGTAATTTTTTTTTTTTACAAAGGGCTTTTGGGTTTAATTTTTTTTCTTTTTTATTTAAAAAAATCAAAAGGCCGCCGGCGAGCCAGATCCGGTAAAAAATCTTTTGTATGTTGTTATGTTGATTTGCATAACATTTATCAACTGTGTTTCCCTTTTTAAAGGACACCGACGTGATGTGGCTGAGAAACCCGTTCATGAGGCTGAGCCGCAACCAGAGCGAAGACCTCCAAATAAGCACCGACGTGTTCAACGGCCACCCCTGGTCGGAGAAGAACCTCATCAACACCGGGTTCTACTTCGTGAGGTCGAACAACAAGACCGTTGCGCTGTTCGAGACGTGGTACACCCGGAAGGACAACGCCACGGGGAAGAAAGAGCAGGATGTCTTGCTGGAGCTCGCGCAGGAGGGCGCGTTCGAGGGGCTCGGGCTCAAGGTGAGGTTCCTGGACACGCGCTACTTCAGCGGGTTCTGCGAGGATAGCAAGGACATACGGGCCGTGTGCACCGTGCACGCCAACTGTTGCCGGAGCATAAGGGCCAAGATCATCGACCTCACGGCGGTCCTCCGGGACTGGAAGCAGTTCCGACGGTCCGGCAAGGAGGCGAACGCTGCTGCTGGTGGCGCCAATGGAACTGCGGTGCCGTATAGATGGTCCGGCCACGTTGGCTGTTGGAGGTCATGGAAGGTGGGGAACAGCACCCTGATTTCATAAGAACAAAGGAGGGCCCGATCTTGATTATACCAAAATTAGAGAAAACACATTTCTCATGTTGATGATCATCTCCGTTTGTGTATATCTGTACTGGTGCAAACAGTCATGCAATTTCTGAGCTCCATGTGTTTGGAAACTTACCTGTCAGATTCAATCCATCATTGATCAATCTCACAACATGGAGATTTGGGCAACATTGCACCGTGCAACAATCTCGTTTTGGGACACCTCCGTACCTGATCTCGAAGAGGCGTGTCAATGTCCTAAAATTCGAAACAGAAGATACATTTTGCGAATATCCTGAAGGTTTGATACTTAATTTCGACGACGCGTGCGATTCTATGGTTCAGTGACTTGATCATCGACTCACTTCTACCAGTATCAAGCTCGCCATATGACAAATTTATCAGTCGGGACATTCTGTAGTCAACGGAAAATGCAACCATCTTGGAAGGATTTGAATCCCACCACATCCATGAGCTCTGGCTCATCCACATCCACAGTAAAAAACCCAAAAGGAAACAAGGAGGCAAACAGCACCCAGATCGAGATCAAAACTACAGAATGACCACAAGATTAACGTGTGTGTAAACCACCGTATCTCCAAGACTGACGTGTGATGACTCCCCTCAGGCATCAGAGACCCACATCAGATGGAACATCTGGATGTCCCAAAAAAGCAGCTCAAAAGACTCTTGCCAAAGCGTGAATGGAAACCAGACAACAAGCTTCACAAGCAGATCAGACAGGGAGGGAGAGAGAAGAAGGCCAAAAGATGCAGTGTGTCGAGATAAGCATAAATTATCCAACAAAGGTATTACCCTTATGCATATTCCACGTCCCTCTATCACTAAAGACATCGAACAAAAAGGAGAAGAACTAAAAAAAATTCCCACTGCAAAGTAGATCTATCTTAGCTCTCTTCTAAACAATCACATCCTACATAAAAACCAAAGCTTTGCTCTTGCTCAAGCTTTGCCCAACTTCAATTTCCCCTTAACCCTGATCTACAACCCATCTTCACATCCTCACTAAAACCCTCTTGATGAGCGAGCACCATCATCATCATCATCATCATCGCTCGTCTATTTATCATCACTAACCAACAGAAGCAGCAGAAGCAACAGCAAAAAAGTCTAGAGATTTTTTTCCTTCCCTGCTGATTTGCAATTCGAATTCAGGCTTCTGGTGTGGGCATCCTCTTGGCCTTCTTCTTCCGCTCGGCGACCGCCTTGGCGAAGGCCTCGACGATCCTCTGCTGCGATTCGAGGATCATCTCCGTCCGCTTCATCTCCATCTCCATCCGCATGCTCTCGATCTCCCGCGCCATCTCCATCTTCATTTGCTCCATCCTCACAAACCCATCCCCCAAGACCTTGATCGCCCCCACCATCTCCTCCAACGGGTCCTTCACCCTCGCCCTCTTCCCCATCCCGCTCATTTCCCTCGTAACCCTAGCTCCGTATCCGCCGCTGGCGCTGCCGCCTCCGAAATTAGGGCCGAAATTGGGGCTGAAATTAGGGTTCACATCGCTCGCGGCAGGACCCATGTTGAATTTCTTGTCGAACTTCCGGTAATTCACTCCGGGCTGAGCTATGCTCACTCCGGTGGGGATCTTGATACGGAACCCGCTGCCGGATTTGCTCCCGCCGGCGGGCTCGGTCCCGATCCCGTTGTGGTACAAGCCATGGATGTTTCTCGAATTCGCGGCGGCGCCGTTGTTCTTGAACTTGTGATCGAACTGGGCGCTGCCGAGGAACTCGCTGTCGTCCTCGTCCTCGTCCTCGTCGTTGAAGTTGTCGTCGTCGCTGTCGGGCTTCTCGGCCTTGGCCACGGTGGCGGAGGCGGGGTTCAAGGCGGCGTGGCCCTTCTCCATGGAGTCCATGCGCTTGAAGTGGACCCAGGAGGAGATGAAGCGGGAGACGGGGATGGAGCGGGCACGCTGCAGCTCGGTGCGGTAGCGCTTGCGGAGCTTCTCCATCTTGTGCCGGCACTGGACGGCGGTCTTGGCCGGGGAGGCGGAGGGACAGCAGGAGGACACCGCGTCGGCGACCTCCTGCCAGTGGTTGGCCTTGAGGTTCCCGCGGCGGAGGGAGTACCACTTGTCGCGGTACGCGTCGATGAGGGCCACCGTCTCGTCGTGGGACCAGCACGGCGGCGGGAGCCGCCGCGGGTTCGTGATGGCCGGCTGGGCCAGCGTGATGGTGTTCTGCGCCAGGGCCGGCGAGGCCGCGCCCGCCGCCGCCGCCGCGGCGGCGGCGAGCGGCGGGGACTGGGGCGGCGGCGAGGTGGAGGAGGAGGGGGCCGGGAGGGGGAGGGGGAGGGGGAGGGGGAGGAGCGGGGGGTCCTCCTCCTCCAGGGACTGGGCGGTGTCGGGAGGTGGGGAGGCGGGAGCGTCGGCCATGGGGGACGGCGGCGGCGGCGGCGGCGGCGAGGGCGGGGGTCAGATCTGGGCGGATCTGGGGAGGAGAGGGGGCGGGCGGAGGATAAGGGGGGAGGAGGCGCAGGATAGCGAGGGGGGGAGGAGGAGGGGGGATTTGGAGGAGGAGGAGGAGGAGGGTGGAGAAAAAGAGAGAGGAGGAGGAGGAGGCATGGTGGTGGAGGGTGGTGGAGGAGATAAGGTTAAAAGAGGGGTGGTGGTGGGTGGGGGGGTAGGGAGGCGTGTGCGGCTGATCTTGAGATCTAGAGAGAGAGAGGGAGGGGAGGGGAGGGGAGGGGCGCCGCTGAGGTGGGCGGGGGTGGGGGGCTAAAGTGCGCGCGGGGGTTGGGCCGTGTGCACCGCCAGGGCCAGCGGGGCGAGAGTGGTGGTGGGAGTAGGGGGCGGGGGGTCCACCCCTGGATGGAGGCCGTCCCCTCCCCCCCTCTTCCTCCGTGACGATGGGCATTGATGACGTCGGCGGCCACGCCCGCCGCCCGCGGCTGTGGATGGTGACGTGGTCGGCATTTTCAATGTGGGGGGTGGTGGTGGTGGTGGCGGCGGCGGCGGTGGCGGGACTGGGGGGGGGGGGGGGGGGGGGTGGATGGGGATGGGCGTCGCTATTTCCCGTGAGAGGAGCTGCTTCTTCTTCTTCTTCTTCGTCTTTGCGTTTTTTTTTTTTTTCCTTTTGGGTTCAAATGGACGATGATGGTTCTTGCGATTTTATAACAGCCTCCGATCTCAGCTTTTACTCTTTTTTATTTATTTTAATTTTATGAGTTAGTGTTTGGGGCATCGTTTGATTCGAGTTGGGGAATGATGATGACGGAGATGTTGGCCATTGGGATGAGCTTTCTCGAACGACGGAAAAGGAAAGAAAAAGAAAAAAAGGGAAAAAAAAAAACTCAAACAAAGGGGACCACCTCTTTAACTTCGAAATTACACATCTGCCCCTCTCGCTTCGACATGGTCGTGTTTATTTTTTTTAATATTTTGCTTTTTATTCTCGGATCTCATCGGGCTTTCGCCGGTACTCATTTCCCCGCGTCCCGCTGCGAATCCTGACCCGCGAAGGCCCGAACCTTTTGACTTTCTACTACCCCCCAATCGCCACAACCCCCCCGCCGCCGCCGCCGCCGCCGCGGCTCTCCCTCCGCCGCCCTCGTGGAGGGACCCCGCTACCGTCGACCCCCTGTTCTCTCTCTCTCTCGCCGGCGGCAAATTATGTTGCCTCACTCGAGGGTTTTACGTATGGCGGTGCGATCTCCATCCATCCAAAGTCATGAAAATCGCATTTGGTCTCGAGCTTCGGGGAGAAATGGAAAAGTCTTTAGTTCGATGTGTATATGCTACTTTCTTTTTTTTTTGGGTATAATTCCTTGTGAAGCAACTTTGGAGTTAAAAAAAAAGGAAAAAGAATAGACAAAAGGAGCTGCTGTTCATCCCGTCTACGCTTTATCCCTTTCCTTCTTTCTTCTTCGCTGCACATGGCCAGAGCCTTTTTCCCCGCCAAATGAACAGCCGAAGGCAGAGCAAGCAAGGATCCGGAAGTTCGCGAATACCCGAAGTCGGGGCGGAATCCACGGGAGACCGGGGGGGGGGGGGGGGAACCGGAGGAAGGGGCGAAGCGTTCGCGACCGGATCGGGAAAGCCCATCGCCGTCGATACCTCGAGCAATTGCGTTCGATTCTATTCGTCTCCTCCTCGGCTTTGAATCGAAACCCCTAAAAAAAATTGAGGCGGCAACGAAAAGGGAGAGGTTTTTTCTTACAATAAACAAATCGAAATCCCCATCTCTCCTCTCGTTGAGCTTTCGTAGCGGAGGGACAGAAGAGCCGGTCCGAGCGAGGGCAAGACCGGAATTCGAAAAAAAAAAATAGCGGGAGCAATTGAGGAAGAGCAAAAATTTCTCGGCTTTCGACTTTGCCAAAGGCCAATTTTTACCCAAAGTTGGTCCGGAAAAAAATTTCATCAAAATCCTCGTTTTTTTTCCCTATTGGAAAAGATGAACCGAACGCACCCAAAGGCTCGCGTCAAGGAGGCCAAACAAGGCTGGCTAACATGAGAGAGAGAGAGAGAGAGAGAAGTGTCAAGCAAAGAGTGTTAGCAAACTTAGGTTGAGATTTAGGTGCGTGGGGTGGTTTGAGATTAAGGTTTTTTTTTTCGGAAGCTTTACCATGCAAAAAGAGTTAGGTAAACCGAAGCCTATCTAATTTCAGGTGGACCCTATATTAACGTCGGAAAGCTATATAAGGAGTTTGTAATTGATTGGAATAGCCGATAATTTCGAAACCCTCGAATAAACGCCAGTGAGTTTGATTATTTACTAGAAAAACACACCAATCGCAATCTTTTACCAGCATTATGTAAATTTTACTAATCTTGCTAGAGGTTTACCGACACGAATTCTTACTATTATTTTTTTGAATATTTTTTCCTAGTGGACCTACGGAATTTTGCGGGCGTGTATCGAACGGAGACGAGGGTTTAAAGCTCGAATCACGAAGCGCAGGCAATCGACTGGCCCGTTGAACCCCCAGCCCCCGCCCCCCCCCCCGCCCCCAATTCTACGAACAAAGCCGGCGAAGCGATTCTGAGTAGCACACATCACTGTGGATGCGCGTGTGCTATTTCTGATCTTCGACTCTATAGAGTTCTTCTTGTAGATACTCATGATTAATGGTGCTAACAAAAGGATGAGCATGCCTGGCCTGGATTGATAACCATGGGCCACTGATGGACTAGACTGGTAAGTGCGCTTTTGATGCTTGGTTTGGACCGATAAGTGCATGGCCATGCTTGCCACTCTACTTTTGGCCAGTGAGGGCCCATGATGATTGGATTTAGATCTTTCAAACAATGCAAACTCGCGTTTGATACTTCAACCACTTGGACGCTGAGTTCAATCGCAAAAAGCCTAACACAATTAACCCACCCAAACACCTCTTTTGACGGCTCCGACCACACCCAACACCATCTAAACTTACGTACCCTTTTATTGAGATGCACGTGTGAGTTATATTAGAGAAGTCCCATATCGGAGAATTGGTATGATGTGTAGTAGTTAATTTATTCTTGTTGGCTCATAACTTATTGGTTTAAACTTTTAAGTGAAAGTGGATCCAACTGGTTATGTTGACGAGTTCAAATTTGAGCGAACCTTTTGGCAATCTTCCCGGACGAAGGTATCGGGCTTCGAAACCTGCGTAAACCCTATGTTAAAATCCTAAATTTCCTAAGGACGTACAGATTTCACTTACCCCGTACTTTTTGCATGCAAGAAATCGCCTCCCTGGGTTCGACTCAGTCCATGATGTCCTTAATTGAAACCGTAGAAATCGAGCCCCCTTTTCAGATCTACAGTTTCGATTCTCCCTTTCCGACCGCACAAACACTAGCTCTCTTCTTTCCAATTTCTTTTTCTCAAACCTACTCTCTTACAATTGACTTTAATTTGGGGAAATAATTTTTCGGATCAAATTACCCCTATGCAACGGTAACAAATGAGCATGTGACCATCACGTAGTAGCCGGGATGTGCTGTTTATCGCTGGCGTCCAAGAAGCCATGGTTGCCTAGCCACACCATGGTCCAGTCTCACCGCCACAATGCAACTTCGCCTGTGCCAACCGCAACCCTGCCTTGCTGCCCTCGACCCAGTCACCAGACCCCGACTATAGTTGACGGCGGATGGGCATGGTGGTGAGCCATGGCCGTGGAGACTGACCATTGATTTGAGAGAGAGAGAGTAATGGACGAACAAGAAGAAGAGGCGGGAAAAGAAGAAGGAAAAACAGATGAGGAACAGCATGAGAAGATGTTAATAACAACCAAATTTGAAACCTAAAATCTTGATTATTGGTTAGGGGAAAGACAACATCTTAGCAGCACAGATGTTTCCACTCTCGAGAACTTCAGAACTTTCTAAAAACAAACCATTTGTTGCTGCTTCAATTCAACAAAGTGGTAGGGAGAAGGTACGCAGGAAATGAGTCTTGAGAACTCTACATACAGAGAATGGAAATGAGGAATAGAGAATGAACAATTGAGGTTAGATATGTGAGGTTCTGGTGGATACAAAAGATTATATGAAAAGTTGAACTTAAAGTGATATTAGAGGACCTTAAGGAACTATTCGAATTCGATCGATTTACAATCTTGAGAGCTTCAAATCGAGGTTAGCGATTGCTTACCAAATTCTATATCTATTATTTATTATATGTTAGAAAAATGAATCTAGGTGTGAAAAATATCTTGAACAATATCTTTGATTTGGCGCCTATTGATCTTTTCTGAATTTAACTTCGTGACATGAGAACTTGAGGCATTGGATATTCATTGTTGGAAAGATCAATTTTACGTCCGTTTCATTCTTTTGAAAAAAGATCATAATTTGCTACGACACATATAAACAAGTCATCATTACCATATATGCGACAACTAATGAAACATTCTTTTGCATTACTTGTAAGACCACGCTGCAATTTCCTGATACAATTGCTATTGCTATACTAGTAGTAAAGTTAGGGATTGGTGGACTGACACAGCAAAGAATTCAATCGGGGATACCGATATCTATGGATATTGCAATTTAAATGGTTATGCGAATGTGATATATTAGAGGTGTTTATACGATAATAGTGTTTACAATTTTTTGTTTTCTTAAGGTGATAAAAAATCAAGTGGAATAATAATATTAACTCTCGTGAAACAAATACACAAGAGTCAAGATTTATTTTCATATTTAATCATCGTTTCTCGTGCACTTCATGAGTGTCATTCAAATGAAGCTTAACATAGTCGTCACAAATGGATAATAGGAATGCATGCCACTTTTCGGGAAGCAGAAACATAACATATCCCATGAGAAAATAAGAGTGTCATATCGACATCTGATATACCTTTATTTGAATGACATTACATAATAAACTAGAGAGAACCAAAGATATCATATCGACCTTTGACTTTATCAACAAACTCGATTCCAACATTGCTTGCATTTCTTAGCAAAACCCTCAAAGGAGAGAGAGATACCATCCCGATCACGAGAACTTACTTTTCTTAGACTGTACATATCACTCGGCATGGTAATCCAGGAAAGACATTGTATGCAGAAATCTAAAACTGGTGCTATTTTTTTCTGTATAAGTAGAAGAAAAACTGATATCGCCATCGGCAGATTGCCTAACAATGCTTCGCTTATCAGACTGAATTTTTTACCCAGTGAATCTGAGAACGGCATGTACCACATGAAGCAAAAGTACGAATAAACCATTGCGGACGTGGAGAGTATCAACGGCAACCTCATTGGAAGATCTCTGGTAAGACAAATGATCATCTGAACAGACACCAAGAATCCGAACGTGTTGCCGCTCATGAAGCTTAAGTAATTCAGATCCCTCATGAAGGCACTTGTCATGAATGATGCGTACGCTGCAAGGAAGCCTTTCTTGGTACTACTCTCAGCCATCGGGGTAAAGCTTGGAGGCTGAAGCACGGCTTGGTAGGTCGCGCTGGCGATGAGCGTGGCTACGACCAGCAGGGTGCTGCGTATGTCTCCCAACGACTCTTGTCCTTGGTTCGAGCCCTCTGGTGTTGATAATGGTGGATGATTATTTTCGACTGCAGCTTTCATAACTGATTGATAGCTGGTAGCTCTCTTGATATCATCTTCCTCGTCGTCCACCAGGACTATTTGTGAAGAGGGCAAGTTTGATGGCCCATGTTTGGCGCCGGCTCGCATAAGGGTTTCTCTAATCTCTCGATCAGAGCGAGATGAGACATCCAGAGGGGTTGAGCCACTGTCGTTCAAGGCGTTCACCTCCACGACCTCGCGCGCTAGAGCATGCCCACTGAGCATGAAGTCAACCACCTGCAATTTGTTTTCCTTTTGTTTGTTTTGTTTTGTCCTCTTTGATGTTCAGACATTCAGATCATACAAAAAGAACAAGCGAAGACAATTGATAAGGAAAAAGGGAAAGGGGCAAGAGAATGCGCGCCTCGAAATTTTTGGCGGCAGCAGCGAGGTGCAAGATGGTATCGCCCTTCTTGTCCTGCCAATTGATCACCTGCTCCTTGTTGTGCTGCTTCAGATGCTCCACCAGCACAACCAGCGTGTCAAATCGATTGTTCTTCACTGAGAGGTGGAGTGCCGTCTCCTCTCGGGCAGTAGTCTCTTCGACGGACTCAGGTGAAGCGGAAAGCAATTCCTTCATGGCACCGACCTTCCCGTTTGTGGCGGCACAATGCAGAGGGATAATTCTCTCCCTGCCCTTCACAAGGCATAGGTGTTGAGGCCGACCTGCCTTTAAAATCTCCCTCACAATCTCAACATCACCTCTAGCTGCCGCGATGTGCAACGGACTGAAACCATCAGCGTTCATGTTCTCGGCCAGCTTCGGCATCAACTTGAGGAGCTCTCGGACGAAATTCAAATGGCCAGCGACACAGGCGACGTGCAACGGTGTGTGGCCAGCCCCTTGAAGAGCCGCCTCCTCGAGGATGAGTTTGTTGCTTCTGATCAGGTCATTCAGTAAACCCACGTTACCTGTCTGAGCTGCTTCTAACAACCTCGGATCCATTTGAGTGTTTATATGTGTATATGTCCCCTTCTACTCAGAACTGATAATAGCGGATGTGCACGAATCATGGTTTTATAGACTGGAAATTGCCTGATCAGAGGGGAGTATCTTATATTTACTTCACTAACACTTAATTTCTTCGAGGAGTTTGTCCTGTGAAAAGGTTACTTCCGAATTGGGCTATTCTTTAATTGCTTGAAGTAGTGAATGGAATATGTTCTGGAATTAGTTAGATGTCTACCTAGATAGACGCCCACGTGTCCAACGTGTCTTGATTTTGAAAAATTTTTATTCCTATTTCAAATTATTTTTTAGAAAAATATTATTCTTGATTCTTAATCTTAATTATGTTTGTATAGAGCGCAGCTTTTGTTGGTTTTACTCTTCATGTAATGGGTTTTATTTTGGATTAATACCATGGAAAATCTCAAACTGGTACATCTGTGACAAATTTACCTTCCGTTAGTTTCCGTTAAATTTTACCGTCAAATTGCTGAGTTAGATGATAGATGGCAGTTGACGGGTGTAGTTTCACCCTCCGTTTGTTACAAATATATCGGTTTGTGATTTTTTGTGGTATTAATTCAATCTTAATGGAAACTAATGAAAGGAAAATTTGTTACAAGTGTATTAGTTTGGGGTTTTTGGTGTCTAAATAATTAATATGGATAAATTTGTCACAGGTATATCAATTTAGGGTTTTTCGTGGTATTAACCAGTTTATTTTTTATAAGTTAATTAATGCGTTCCACAAGTATCCTATACTTTAAAATAATAGCCCCCTTTTTTTTTGGTAATTCTCAAAGAGAATCATATGACTATTCATCGTTCAAACTTTTTATTTGTTTTTCAAAAATCATACGCAATCTTTTGAAGTCTCAATTCCACGAAAATCTAAATTTGGAAGGTCAACAGATTGACCTAGAGTAATAGAGAAAAAAAAGTTGAGCTCAAGAAGCGGAAAGTGAAAGTAGACAAGGCCATGTAGGATTGAGACAGGATTTTGCAGAGGTCGAAGATCTTTGTGGAAAAACCACGGAGATGGATCCTGGAGACCTGAATATAATGGTGTTATCACAGCTTCGGCATCGCTCATGGGTCACGATCATTACTCGCTTCTTCCCAGGCTTCGGCATCGACTTGAGGAGCTCCGGGACAAAATTAAAATGGCCTGCAACATGGGGGACGTGCGACGTGGTTTGGCCAGCTCCTTCGAGGATCCGTCTCCTCTAGGATGAGCGCATTGCTTCTGATCAAGTCATTCAGTTCATCGACATTGCCTATCTGAGCTGCTTCTAAAAACCTTGGGTCCATTTGAGCGAGTACACGAATCTGTACTGCTGCTGCTAATTAGAACTAATAATGATGAATGTGCACAATATGGTGCAGGTCCTCCTCTAAGCACGAATCGTGGTTTTATAGGTTGGAAATTGCTTGATCATGGGAACTTTAAAATTACAGCATCTACACTTTGATTCCTTCATGGGATTAGTCACAGATCTTTTGAATCTATCTCTAGTATAATCCTACTATTAACTCTCATGAAACAGACGAATCAGAGTTGAGGAGCAATGTTAGCACTGCTGCCTGGTAGCAACATAACCTTTCCCTTAAGAAAATAAAATACAAACCCACTACAAGGTCAGGACACATTCAATAAGAAAAACAAGATTAGGGCGAATCATCCGTGGACATTACATGATCGACTGGAGAGAACCAAGGGTATCAGATCGATGCATGGCGTTGTCGATAAACCCCATTTGGGCGCTGCATACTGTTTGGATTTGTTTGCCCAGACCTTGGGGGCAGATGATCCCCAAGACATAGGATATTAATCCGGGAAAGAAATTCTATCCCCTTACCTAAATATCGTGCTATTTTAATCTGTATCAATAGAAGAACAACTGGTATCAGGATCGCCAGTGTGCCTATCAATGCTGCTCCTACAAGACTGAAGTTTTCATCCAGTAACGACCTGGACGGCACGTTCACCATGCAGCTAAGGTAAGTCCAAACCATCGCCAATGTGGAGAGCATCAGCGGCAACTTCAGCGGACGATCTTTCGTGAGACCGATGATCGTCTGAACAGAAAGCAAGAATCCGAATGTGTTGCTGCTCAGGAAGGATAATAAAGCCAAATTCCTCCCGGTGGTACTTGTCAGGAAAGATGAGTATGATGCAAGGAAGCCTTGCTTGGTACCAATTTCGACTTGTTTAAGAAAGGTTGGAGGCTGAAGCACTGCTTGATAGGTTGCGCTTGCTATGAGAACGGCTACAACTAGCAAGTCGCTGTGTAAATCGCCTGACGACTCTAGTCCTTGGTTTGAATCTTTTGATAGTGATAATGGTGGATGATCATTTTTGACTGCAGGTTTCACGACTGATTGATAGCTGGTAGCTCCCTCGATATCATCTCCATCGCTGTCCACCAGGACTATTTGTGATGGGGGCAAGTTTGATTGTCCGTGTTTGGCTCCGGCTCGCACGAGGATTTCTCTAATCTCTCGATCAGAGCGAGATGAGACATCGAGAGTGGTTGAGCCACTCTTGTTCAAGGCGTTCACCTCCACGATCCCGAACTCCAGAGCATGCCCACAAAGAATGAAGTCAACCACCTGCAATTTTTTTCCAGCTTTGTTTTGGTTGTCGTTAATTTTAAGACATCAAGACAATACAGAAAGTTTTTTGGGCATATACGAGACATCGTTCATACTAATGATGATCAAAACAGACCCTGATTCAATAAATTCCTTTGCTTAGAAGATTTTTGCATATTGTAGGGATACCAAATTAAAACCCTCACCGAAATAATGTGCAAATAAAAGTGCGATAGAAAAAGCGAACTGCGTGACTTGCCTCGAAATTTTTGGCGGCGGCAGCAAGGTGCAAGACTGTATCGCCCTTCTTGTTCTTCCAATTGATCACCTGCTCCTTGTTGTGCTGCTTCAGATGCTCCACCAACACAACCACCGCATCAAACCGGTTGTTGTTCACGGCGAGGTGAAGCGCCGTCTCCTCACGGGCAGTTGTCTCTTCAACGGACTCAGGCGAAGCGGAGAGCAGTACCTTCATGACTTCGAGCTCCCCGTTCACGACAGCGTAATGCAAAGGTACTCTTCTCTCCCTTCCCTTCACAGAGCACAGGTGTTGACGCCCTCTCAAGAGCTCGCTCGCGATCTCAACATGACCTTGAGCTGCCGCAATGTGCAAAGGACTGAAGCCATCCGCATTCACTTTTTCCGTGAACTTCGGCATCAACTTCAGGAGCTCTCGGACGCAATTCAAATGGCCGGCCACACAAGCGACGTGCAACGGTGTGTGACCAGCTCCTTCGAGAGCCACCTCCTCGAGGATGAGCCCATTGCTTCTGATCAAGTTGATCAGCTCATCGACATTGCCCTTTTGAGCTGCTCCAAGCAACCTTCGCTCCATTTGAGGTGCGAATATGTGTATATGCGTCCTACTAATCACAAGAAATGGAGGATGTGCACAATGCAGTTTGCTCCTCTGAGCAGGAATCATGGTTTTATATGTTGGGAAATTACCTGATCAGGGGACGGCCTCTTCTGGGGACACTTTGGGTTGGACTTAGACGCCTAAGTGCAGATCCATCCGTCGTACTAAATATTAAGAAAAGACCGAAGAGGGAGAGAGAGAGAAGACCTGCACCGAGTTCGTGCGACAGTGGTTTCAGCCGCGGTTTAACAATGTGCGAAAAGTTCAATCCACCGTCGCATGACTTTGCTTGAAATATGTTGACTTGTTAGTTGTTAGTGTGGGTGCAGATCAGCATATGTACTTACTCTTTCTCCATATAGGCAGTATGCCCGATCAAATGCAGATCCGTCATTTCTTTTGTGCTACCATTCGGTTGGAGAGCGGCGACCGGTGCTCCGGCCCTCTAGATTTAAAATAAAAGAGCGAGGAGGAGCAACTAGAGCCTGTAGTCCTCTCCTATCGTTACTGATCTTGCGCCTCTGATGAAATTTCTATGGTTGGCAACCTCGTTTCTGTAACTCCACTGATATGCTAATAGTCAGGAGGTCCATCGACATGAGGCGTGTCACAACTAAGAATGACGAGCCGTTTAGAGATTTGTTCATGACTTGAGTTGAACTCGTGACCAAAGTGCTGACAAAGGAAAACGTAGAAAGTGAAATGTAAATAAAACACGACAAAAAATAATGAAATTTGGCTTTTAGAATAGTTTCAAAATCTAAATTTCTAAGTATTTGCTAGGTGAATTATTGTTTTTCATGAAAATTGTCTTCTCATCACATCAACTAGGTGATGAGACACCTAGAACTGTCAATATATTATTTTGTACTCTTGTTTCATTGATCTCACAAAATTGCCATTCTTGACGTATGACATTCTTATATACAGAAAATTCTTACCTTTTTATAACAGGATGAGGAAATATATTAAAATATCTAAATAATAATCACGTATTTATTTAACTATTTAAGTTTTTAGAATAGTAGTTGATAGCGATTTCATAAAATCTACGTTTAGTACCTTTCTCTATTGTCCATGGAGCTCGCACCAAAGCACCATCTTTTTGTGAGCAAAAGAAATTATTATATGTGCTGAATTTATTTTTTGTCAGATATGAGCTGGATTTCACATGCTATCACAACGTGAAACTCATTTTATTTCATAGTTATTGACCTCCAAGTCAATTGGTCTAGCTATTCTTTTAGCATACGCTGGTGTTTATTAATTGGCTAACTTCATTTTTTATAAGGGCAATGTCTCTTTTTTACTTTGATTATCTCTTTCTCTCGGTAGAAGTAAAGTCAATGCCACGGTCTTTGAAAACTATGGCTATTATTACCTCATGGTCATGACCCTAGGATGTCGTGACTTGTCCCTATGTGATTATAGTATGATTTCTTCAATGTACATTCAAAGTGATATCTGTCTTAAAGCAACCTTTGAAATTGATGATTTTGTCTCAAATGGTCTCGCCTTTTGTCAGACGACGATCATATGCGCATCCTGTGCCATTGTTCGTGCCATGGACATGGGCATTTTCATTCAAAAGCAAATGTATCTAGGCTTGTCACTCTGCTTCTTTAGCTGTTCGCGACGCTCTCCGTCGCTAACTAGTAGAATGAGAAAACATATACGATAGGGACATTAGCTGTTCATTCTTAGTGAATGCTAATCTTCTAGTCCTAAAGTTCTGGGATGAATGGCACCTATGAAGGTACCTTTCTCCATTAAAGCACCATCTTTTTGTGAGAAAAAACGAAATGTTTCATGAGCTAGGTCCACATGCTATCCCAATGCGAATTCATTTTATTTTAATTCACAGGGACAGAACATCTATCTCCTCCCAGGTCTGAAATCTCGTGGAGTTATTGACTGGTCTTGTTTATACTTTTATTCTTCTTTTTATCTGTTTTTTTTTGTGAGTTTATTTGTCTAGCTACAGTTGTGGCATTCACTGACCTCAATATTTTATAAAGGGAATGTCCTTTTTTCTTTCATTATCTCCTCATAGTCATGACCCCTAGGACTAGGATGTCGTGACTTGTCTCCATGTGATTATAATATGATCTCTTCAAACGCAGGCTACGCTCTTCCAAGTCCGGTCTTGGTTCATCTGCATCACGCGTTGACCGACGAGTCAACTTCTCATCCCAGTTTTTGCTTTTGGGTTGGATCATGACCCTGCTGGCACTGGGTGCTCCACACACATCCAATTCAAGAATTCTCAATAATTGAATCTCCTTGGAACTAATTGTGATTTCATAAATATCTATTAAAAAAGAGATAATGATATAAATAGTCTTTGAAATTTGACATAATATGCAATGTGGTCCATGAACTTTTAATTTATTCAATATAGTTCCTGAACTTTAACTTGATGTGCAATGTAGTTCATTAACTTTTAATTTGTTTAATGTGGTCATTGAATTTATGGTACATGTTCAAACTAGTCATTAAACTATATGAAAATATTCAATATAATTATTTTATTACTTTAAGTTCAGGGACAATATTGAACATTTTCATATAGTCTAGGGACTAGTTTGAACATGTACCAAAAGTTTAAGGATCATATTGAATGAATTAAAAGTTTATGGAATTTTACCCTTTATCAATGCTATTCCTCACTTTTGGTTATTCAATGAAATAGTTGGGAAAATACGCCAAAACCCGTAAACGTTTTATCCAAACTACAATGAAAACCTAAACATTTCAAAAAGGTTCAATAACCATAACAGTTAAGCAAATCTCTACTATCTGTATACCAAAGGAATACTCGGTGGCTATGGACGATGAACTTTACCCATCAAATGGCCTAGATTGCCCTTGAGTTGAATTTTTTTTTGTGTGGAGTTTGTACAAGGACGTTTCAATAGTTTAATCACTTGATTGTCATTTTACCCACCGAAAAAATATTGCATGGTAGACCATGCAAACCGAGCACATCTAGGCCGTTTGATCATGTGGAATCCATGGTTGCTTTAACAATGACGATGAAACCCAAAATATTCAGAAAAGTTCAATGTGGCTTTTCTTCTTTAGCATTGATGCAGAGTCGGAACTCGAAGCAATGGCCCCGTAAGCTAGTGAGAAAAATGAAAGAAACTTTGGGTGTGAATTAGATGCTCGGTACATATTTGAGTATTTTACGCCGTAAAATTCAATGCGTATCAGATCATTTAATTAGATTTTGAATGTTACACTACGTGATTCATGAGGTTAGTTGTGCTATTTAGTACAAATGGGATTGACAATAACCTAATTTTCAATGGTACTTATGAAAATAATTAATTATCTTCTGACCTTTAAACAATAATATCTGCCCAAATAAGTCATTGAATACCTAAATGTTGTTTTAGTGATGGAACTCTTCGACTTTTAGTGCAAATTTGATTTTTTTTTAATTTTCCGACTTTATTATAATGTGGATCACCTATTGCGGTTATTGAGAAAGTCACTAATTATTGAATGCATTTTTCATGTACGATCTCTTTTATCTTTTCTTTGCCGTCACCCCCCATCGTATTCACCTAATAATTGAAAATTTTCTTAATTACCTAAAAGTTGTTATGAAGTGAATCACTTGACGCGTCTATTAAAAAAATTATGGATTATTTAATGCGTTTTCATGTATTATCTTCTTTGTTTTTGCGAGGTATACCAAAGTCAAAGTGTGAAATTAGCGAAGGCCAAAAGGTTCGCGATTGCTTTCTTTCTTTAGTGGCAAGAGGACCTGGGAAGATCTGTTAAAAATTAGATTGAAAATCCTTATTATATATATTTTTGGCTAATTTCAAAAAGAAAAAATTTAACTTTACCTTGAGTGACAATTTTGACCCAAACTTTTTTTTGTCTCAATAAAAAGCAAAAACTTTTACTCAAGTCCTAAATCTGGTCTTCATAGTGTGAAAATTTTAAATTATTCATGATTTAAGTGAAATTTATTGATTTTTTATGAGATAAAAAAAGTTCGGGTCAAAACTATTACTCAAGGTAAAGTTGGTGGTTTTTTTTTTGGAATTGAGCCTATATATTTCCTTTTTTCTTGGTAATTTTGCTTAAGGTTGAAATTGAAAGTGAGTTTACGTTATTATATAGATCTACTAATCACATCCGGTGTGTCTCGTCATTTTCAGGATATACGATAGAAATCTCAACTCACTTTCTTGTTTTAATTTTTTGTTATCTTCAATTAAATCAAGAGTATTGTTTCACCAAAAAGACCATGAAATACTTTTTAGAATAGAATGTTAAGGAATCGATAAAAATCGACAAAAGTGGTGCATGCCCCTGCCACTAATATGATGAAATACCTTTCGAATATGAAAGTGAATGACAAAAAATTTAAAGATACGGACACCGGGAAAAATCATTGCTAATCATATAATATTTAAAAATCTACTTGGACTCCAAGGCTGCGAATGGTAACCTGTTGACACCTAAATTTTGCCTATTCATTTAGGATTTAATTGCATGAAAAATTAGGGATTGATTTTTAACCCCTAAACAAAAATATTTTCATTAAGTTATGTGGCATGTAGACATTAGGCGCATTTGCATTAATAGATTTAGTGAAACATATTTTCGCTTTATTTTACTTCTTTTTTATTTTTATTTATATAAAATAATTAAAAAAAAAAGAGAGAAAACAAAGGGGAGCTCTTCCCCGTAGCTCTCCCTCTGACACTTGCGAAAAAGAAGAAAAATGGGGAAAGGACAAAAAAAGGGGAGCTGAACATTTCCTTCGAAAGAAGAGCGGAAGAAGACAAAAGAGTGGAAAGGCATTTGCTTTCTCTCGTCCAGAAGGGGAGCTACAGGAAGAGCAAAAGGAAGGGAAAGGATTTCAAAGAGAAAAGGACAAAAAAAGAAGGACCCTTTTTCTTTCTTTGACTGACATGAAGGGCTCCCTCTCTCTTTGAACCGTGCAGTCCATTCATCAAAAGGGGACGTTCTGCACATACTAAGAAAAAAGACGGGGGGTGAAGCAAAAAGGGGGGAGTGAGCTCGAGAGAGACATCCAGAGAGAGAAATCCGAGAGAGAGACCGAGAGAGAGAGTGAGTTCGAGAGCGTCGGAGAGTGAGATCCGAGGGAGGAACGGTCTCTTGTCCGCGACCATCACGCCTCAACCGTGGCCGCCGACGCTCCGACACATCCCGTTCCACGCGGTAGGTGACGAATCCGAGCCACTGTTGGGTTTTGTTTCGTGTGACCCGGGGCCGAT